TATTTAACAAATATTTTTTTCAAGGTTTTTCTTTTTTCAAGACTCTGCAAGCTCTGAGTGCTCACAGTGTATTAGAAAACTTGCCCACGGCCTGGTCAGACTCCAGTATGTCCTATGAAGCTAGTCAGGCAGAAAAGACAGATATGCTTGTGTTCCATTTTTTTACTGTGCTTGATTGGTTTAATAATTGGCTGAAAGAAAACACAGAAAACTTTAACAGAGAACTGGGCCGTGGCCAACCTTTTCTGCTCTGAGGTCTAAAAAATAAGTGATCCAAGAAATACGTACTCCACAGATTAGTAACCCAATGCTTGCTGCTGGGATACATGATAAAAAGCTCATACCACACATACAAAGGAGCCTGTGGCTAAAACAGGCCTGTGAGAGGACCATCTTCTACAGGGACACAGTGGTCACCTTTAGCCAGCTGAAGGAACAAGGCTCAGTAGTTGGAATATTGACCTGCTTTTTCTGGTCTTGAATTAAAATGAATAGCCAAACATGTCACCCACAGTTGTCTTCCAGTGGGGAGAGAAACATAGGTTTGAGTCAGATGTTTCTTCGTACGTTCTTTTTATGAAACAATCACAGATGCCTGTTCCATCACTATGAGGTGATCCAGGCTAGACACAATGATTTTGCTCCTTTCCAGTGAGCAGGGGAACTGGAACTCAGCTTTTCTTCATTCTGCATTGCTGCATTTCCACTGATTTTCATAACACCACGAAATCCCTCTGGCCACAAGGGCCAGGGGCAAAAGCACTGTCAGTGCCTGAGTGTGAGCTGCTACAATTCGCTTCCATGTCCCTAAAAACAACTAAGTCCCTTTTCACCACCGTTCTCAGATGAAAGGTAGGCATTCTTATCTGCCCCTCACTTTTTCAGGGTGCTTCACTTCCTTGAAAGAGAGCTCCGTATCTAGCTTGAAGATGACTGCAATTTTAACTTCACCACCCCCAAAAGCAATTGAGTGCTTGTGGGCAGTCAAAATTTATGACTGCAGAAAACTGTGTGACACACCTCAGATCAGAGTGTGTCCAAGACTTAGGAACACCAGTGAATTCCCAGTCCCTCCCTAGAATCTATTTTCAAGAAGTTTCAGCAGCAATGGAAAGTAAAATCAATTCCTTATTTTGCAGCTCTCTGTAAATGCTGTTATTTCCACCAGTTTTGAGGCTCCAGCTGGAACAAAGCATCTTTGCTGAGTGTCCTTGATCATGAAAATAGTGCTTGAGCATAGCTTCACTCAAATCTTCCCAAAGAAGCTGCCTCACAAATCATAATGCCCTGCAGGGCAAATGAAGCAGCATCAGCTCCATGCTTGCTTCTGCTCACATCTCCCCAAGCACGCCAGGGGTACACACCCTCAGGGTGGGAAATAAGAATGACAACTATTGTGCAGGTTTGAGTGGAGTTTATTTAGCAGTTGGCAGCTGGCCTGGAGTAGTGGGTGAAGATGTGATGTGTTGTGGCTCTAAATACAGTAGGCAAGTAAAACTGCAGGCCTGTGTTTTGCTCTCTCTGTGGTTCAGCAACCATAAACCCAGGATTCCTCTGCTTTCCACACCAATAAATCACTGCTGCCTTTCCCAAGGCCTTGATCAGAGCAGTGAGCCTATGTCAGACCCACCCACAGACCCATCCCAGGGCAGTGGCTGCCCAGCCACCCTCCCCAGCACAAGGTCCCTTAGTAGACAAACAGGTCAGGATTGTCACAATGCCCTGATTGCACAGCCGGTACATGAAGTTCCCAGCACCAACTTTCTCCAGTAATTTCCACCTGTTTCTGTTTTCCTAAGACTGCCTTGGGATATGTTTTATCAGACAAAAGTTACACCCTGAATGCAGCCGTCAATATTCCTGTGAATATTCCCATGCCCTAAACTGGGATTGATCAACAAATCTGGCTCAGGGATGGGCATAGGCAACGCAGTAGTGTTGCTTGGGGAAGAACAGGAGGAGCCAATTACCTCAATAGAAAAGGGAGTGTTAATTTTGTTTTATATTAATAGCTATATCAGTTAAATGATCAGCTGGTTGTACAAGTGTTCTGAGTTAATCAAAAGGTGTGAATATCTTCCTAAGCCAGCTAGACCAGTATGGCACTCAGACCAAAATAAAGCATAAAAGCTGAGCAACCAGCAAAACGAACTTTGAAGAGAGCTATGGGGTTGAGCTGGCTTCAACACACATATTTCTTACCAGTGACTGGAGATATGTAGCATCATGATGGTAAATGAATATAGACCAGTAATGGCAATTTTGTCTATATTCTGGTTCAACGGGATTTTGTAAATGCTATATTGTGCTCTTATTGTGATTGCTGCTTCACTCTGCTAAATCAAAATCCCAGGTAACAATAAAAGTTTCCAAATAAGTAAATTTAGTAATAACACACTAAACCATTCTCATGTGGAATATCTGAATGAGCTTGGTCAGAATGCATTGGACAAAAGAAGTGCCAGGACTCCAAGGCAACATGGTCAGGACACTCCTCGTCGTGAGGGGTGCATCTCCAGGGGAGGCTTGGTTTACTCAAGACAACATGCACATCACTGTAATGCAGGACGATTTAAAATGTCCACCCCTTTGTAGCATCAAGGGCACATGGGGAATATGTGCTTAAGACGGTGTACGTCTACTAATGTAAGGCCTCAACTTCATGCAAGAAAGGACAGCAGGTGATATTTCTGTCTGACTTTGATTCAGCTTAATTTTTAGCCACTTCAACAATGCAGTGATAATAAGAAACCAACAACCTTGCATGTATGAAAAAGTAGAACTCTAAATACATTTATTATTCAGTTACATTTGTTTTTCATTGCACAAATTTGGTTTTTATCCCCATGGTTTACAGTTTTTTACAAAGTTGTTAGGATTTTTAGAAACTATTAGAATGATCACTTAAGTCTATTTAGGCACAGTTTATTAATGCATAACTGCACTTTCTCCACTTTTTTCTCTGTGTGAAAGATATACACTTGCATTTAAGCTCCAAATTGAAATACATTTCACAGTCTACGCTTTTACAGGCATAATGTCTAAAAAAGAAGTTTTGATTAAATAGTCTTACCTTATCAAATTTTGCCAATAAAGCCTAAATGAAAGCAACTTCTTTTCCAGAAATGCTGAAATCAACACAACCCTAAGACAAGAACCATGGTAGCTGGCCATTTTCTATGCTAGTCAGTCAGAGGGTAATGAAGAAACAGTCCTCAAAATCCCCTGGGAAAATTACTCTAACTTGGAAATAATTTAAATAATTTATTCTGTATGAAAAATAACAACAACAAAAAAAAAAACCACAATGCAGCAAATGAAACACATATGTCGACAAGGATGTGTCCTATCCCCTGGAGTGCTGAGGCTGTGTCAATTGCTCTCCTTTCTGACAATGATAGTTTGAAAACCAGAGTACCATATCCCTGGGGCTACCCTCTGTGAAAATGGCTTTGAAGTTTGAAGCTGTCAGGCCTGTTTGACATGGCTGAAAAACTGTGAGCTTCTCGATTTTTTATGTAGCTCTTCTCTTTGGTGAGAAAGCCTGACTACTTCTGGTGTAATATTCATGTATTTGGATTAAAGCTCTGTAACTTGCGTTGAGCTGCTTCTGCATGTAACTGCATACTGCAGTGCTTGCAGGGCACAGGGAAGTCCATTCTAGAAGACCTGAAATGAGCTGAAGTTTATTTCAACAATTTTGTTATATTATTTTTTATTTTTTTTTACAAAAAGAGTAGTGTTAATTGACCAATGGTAAAGGACTCCTCCTGATGCACATGAACAACTACCCGCTTTCTGTAATGCTGCAGAAAGAAACAACAGTATTTGTGACTTTTTAGCACCCACAGCTGTTGTTGCTATTGATAAATGAATGGAATATTTTGAAAGCGGGTGATGTGTTTGCAGCAGGGAAAAAGGGATGCTGGAGTCTGTGTGATTCTCTCTCTTGAAGTATTTAGTGCCCATGAGCTCCCTGCTGGCTATAGCTTTCAGGGATAACCGGAGGGGTATCTCACATGAGCACAGGCAGTGCACAGCTTTTAGTTCCCTTGCTAAGGATTCCTGTCTTTGGAAATTTCTGACTACAGAGATACTTAAATTTCTTTAGACTTTTGAGAAAACATTAGACACCAGGCAACTAGAAGGGGATAGTATTCATTCCTGCATGTGTCACAACAAAGGTGCACGGATACAGGTTAAAAAGCAGTAGCTTGCTCTGCTTGGGTTTAAGACATCTCCATAAGCTCTGCATTTGGGACATTCCCACTCTGGTGTTGCTGCTGCGCTCTGATCCCAGGGCAACAGACAGTGCACTGCAGGAACAAATGGGAAAAAAAAAACAGGCACCAATGAGGCAGGCAGGTCTATGCCCTGCATGGGTGCTCGGCACTGCGGGCAGGCTGCATAAAAGCTGGTCACAAGTGTCAGCCCTGAAACCAAGGATGGGCCACATCCTACAGCTGCTTTTATTCCCAAGAAAGGTCTGGGGGAGGCAGCAAGCTAGAGAGTTGATGCTGAAGGGAAGATACATGTGTGTGGCTTCAGGGCCTGGGGACACAGGGCAGCCCTGGAGGATGCAGGAGGCTGGGCAACACAGCTGGAAAGAGGGAGCCTACAGCTGTAGATGGCTGCAGGCATTGGACAAGGCGCTGGCAACTTGGAGCTAAGGAAGCAGAAGCTGCAGACAGGACAAGCAGTACTCCAGCAAAGGGGGAGGGCTGTTTGTGACCAGATCTGACAGCAGATCTTTGAGCAAGTGTGCTCAAAACCGCAGCTTTAAATGTTGTTCTCATTTGCCTGATGACCACTGCAGCATCACAGGCCCCCAGCTGACTGCCACTGGTATTTGGCAGAAGGAGGGACAGAAGGCCACTGACTCAAAGGACCCAGAGACCTCCGCTGCACTTGAAGCTTCTCTGCTGACAATCAGCCCACAACACCACCCTTTTAATAGTAGAACCTTCAAACATCAACTCTCCTTTATCTATCACCGTGTCAGCCCCAGTGCAGCCTCCCGCTCAGAGCAGGACTATCTCCAAGTTAAGGGCAGCTATCGCTTTGCCCAGCCACTCAGGTTTAGGGCCGAGCCATGAGGCAAGAGTGGTGCATGAGGATCACTTGGGAGCTAGAGGTGCCTGTGAAGCTCAGTTGCAGAGTGGTCTCCCAGGGTAGGAGGACAGCAGCCACAGGAGCCGCACTGCTGAGTCCAGGAGTGGGAAAAGAAGCTGGTAGCTGCCTTCAGTGTCCATCTTGATGTCATGTGGAGGAACAGCAATACAGGTTGTTCCTAAAGGATCTCCAGGATCCGAAGAGCAAGATTTTCCAAAGTGTCTCACTAGCATTAATGCATGAGCTTCTGACACAAGTGAGCTTGCGAGCAAGGGGAGCCTGGAGAAGCACAGCAAGTCCATAAGTAACTGTCTGGTGATGATTAGGGAAATACAACCACCACAAGCCAGGGAAGTCCATGCTGCCTGACACATCTTTTTTTCCCCCAGCAAAAACACTAGGAGGAGTCATCCACAGAAACAGGAGTCTGCTGCAGTTGTCAGGGGTGCCAAGAGCTGGAGGCCAGCACCCTCAGTAACTGTCTGTGTCCATAGAGAAGTTTCCACTTTCCAGCTTCATCTGTTTAATTTGAACATCTCTCTGGTTTACCAGCTCACGTAGTCTACGGATTTCTTCCTGTTGTCGGTAAAACATCTGCAAAAGCTGTAAGAAAAGTCACATTTTATCTCCCTTACTGTAAGGAAACACAGACTTATCCTGTCAAATGTCACCAGTCCTGTCAAATCACTTCTGAGAGAAACCATTTAAGGAGGAAGACTTCAACCAACAGAATGAACATCAGCAGTACTCCTGCTGTCCTCTAGCTTGTGCTATAAATGCATGTGTTTCTCAGCACCATTTAGTGATGATACCTTGGATTAATTCGGTGGAAAAGATCAGAAAAATTAACTTTCACACTTCTGATCACTCCAAGAGAGCCTAAACACAGAGAGTATTTGGAGTCTAAATTCCTGGATCTGCCATGTCTCCTACTCTGACCTTAGGCATGTCCTTTTACTTCTGGTCTTTTTTCCTATTGATCCTGCACCACTGCACAAGCTTTGGTTATGATACACAGAGGGGTTTGGCTGTCAGTTAAGTCAGATCATGTTGTTGCCAGGACCTTTTCTGGAGCCATTCCCAGGAGTAGGCAGTGACCAGCAGCCAGCCTCAGTGGCACTGTGCTGCCAGCTTGTTCCCCAGCAGTCAGCTTCCAAGACAGGGGCAGAGCCAGCCCCTTTCCCATGTCAGGGTCTACAATATAGCTAAGTGCTCAAGACTATATGGATGCACCCTGGGCCAAGGAAGCAGGATACACCCACTTCTTCCACAGATATCCCTGATGCCTCATGGGGCTATCTGAACACAGCTCCCATAGAAGGTTTACACTGCATATACTCCCTTCTCTTCTCCAGAACCTGGAGGTCACAAGCGCCTCCTTGTCCCCAGACACCAGGCAGGTCAGTGCACAAGAATGCCTAAGAAGCAGGAATACTGACTGCTCTCGCCTTTCCAGACTCCCTCAGCTGGTGCAGCTGGGCCACATTTCTGCTTCAGCTCTGCAGCCAGAGCATGCAGAGCTTCTGCTGCACAAAGAACAAAGAGCTTGCACTGGCCAGGTCTGCAAAATAAACCCTCCCCAGATTCTGTCACCTTGTGAATGGCATCCTTTTGCTGGCTGAGGCTTCCACCCACAGTCCCAACCCTTCACCCCAGATATTCACACCTCATTTTCTGTTTTGGGTGGTGGACACTCAAATATGTCAAAGCTACTGGAGAGGCACATTTGCTCATTTTTTGGCAATTTCTCCTCCACTCTGAGAAGTTTTCTTCTATGTTCAATCTCATTTGGCTCCTGCACATCCTCCAGCGGCATCCTTCCTCCCCAGCCCTGGTGCCGGCTCAGGTCATCAGTCTTTGCGGGTGGCTCTGGCTCAGAAAGCTGTGGTAAGGAATTCACAACTCCAGAGCCTGGTCTCAAGGATACCAAGAGAGGTCCTAGGGGAGGAGGCAGGTGACAGGTTAGGACTTAGGAACCACATTCAGAAATCAGCTGTAGGAAATTCACTCAAACAGCCTGCAGGGATAAATGAGTAGAGCAGAGCAAATTCCTGAGTTCGCAGTGGTGAAGATTTTAGCCACCAAATTATTTTAGCTTACAGCCACATCTGTTATGTCTCTCCTTTTCCTTCCCTTCTTTCTCTGAAACTTGACAGGCAAGGGAGCCAGTAGCAGTTTATCTAAGCCCTGGAGAGCTGGAGGGCTGGGGAGTTCTCCATGTACTGACCTTTGTTAACTCCATTCAGCCACTCTTGTGCTGTAAGTGCTGGCTGGGCTGCTGTCGTCAAAGGGTAGATGTCTTCCTGGTATGACTCCGACTGCAAGCAAGCAAAAGTCCAGAGTCACCGGATCAGTGAGATTTTGGCTTAGAGGGATTATACTGGATTGTGGTGGAGAAAGGAGTTTGTTCCACCTCAGCACAGGATGTGTCATGAGCACTCACCAGCTTGGACATAAAACCTTCTTGTCTGCCCTGAGCCTCTCTTCTCCTCACCCCAACTCAGAACTGTATCTGAAGGCCTATTTTAATACCTGCCAATAAGATCTTTACACATCCAGACAACAGACTGGGGGAGGTTGGTGAAACACTAACCCAGTTCTCTCAAACTCAGCACTCCTGAGGATGAAGAAGTGGATATGAAGGATAGGCACAAGTCACAAATTATTAGCTGATCATCAGCTGACAGAAACTGGCCAAGCAGATAACATTGGCAGAACATGCCTGATTGGTCATTGCAATGAGCATTAGCTCTTGCTGCCTTTCTGAACTCAAGGCACTCATACCTTCCAGTGTTTCTGGAACCCATTGTTCCCTTTTTCCATGGGTAATTCTTCTTTCTTCCACAAGCAGATTTTCATGTAACTCAACAACACTCCAAACTCTTCTCTCTTTCATCATTATGTCAAACACAGACACCTAACTCCCGAGTTACCCAGCCAGGGTTTGTTGGCACGGCTTTCCCACAAACTGACCAGCTTTGTCCCTCAGTCCAGGAGAGCGAAAATCTGTTATACCTACTTTCCTGCCCTCAAGAGTCACAGAGAGAGGGTGCTGCCTTATTTTTCACTGATATTTGTCCCAGACACAAACATGACCTGAAGTTAACTTACCCGTCGAGGCACAATCATGGAGATGGGCTCAATCATGCTTTTAGTAGGTATCAGTTTGTAGAAACGGAAGATTTCACAAGCTGACACTTCAAGGCCTCTCTTTGGCATCATTCCTGGTAGGATAGCATGAAACAAACAGGATATAAATCTCCCTAGGAAAGTTAATGTCATCCATATTGGAATAGGTATGACACTAAACAACAAAAGGAATCACAGCATCAGCTATACAGCAGTGAGGTTTGAAGTTTGCAGTCAAAACTGGCTCAGTGGCACAAATGACAAGACTAAATAATTTTGGTTTCTGTCCAACCATGAAGCTACATATAAGGGTCTGTGTTTTTCATGCCAAGCCTCCTGTTCCTTCTTCATTCTCATGAGCTGCAAATTGAGTGAACAGGACTGAGCAGAACTGGCAGGGAATGCCACAGGATTTGACTATCAAGATCAGCAGGAAGGGATTTCAGGACACCTGAACACATTAGAAGAGCTACATGAGTCATGCTGAAAGCCGTTCCAGCTCAGTATCCTTCCCTCAGCACTGTACCAAAGCAGAATGGAGTAGGAGCAGGATGTGAACATCTACTTTGTCAGAAAGCACCATTTGTCCTTCAGGGACTCACTGAGCCACACAAAGTCTCAAAGTACCTGGTAACCTCACTGGATTTCTATCCCATAAGCTTCTAAAGCCCAAAGCCTACTGTCCTGGCTTCAGCAGTAGCAGTCATTTTTCTTCTTATTAGCTGGTGCAGTGCTGTGTTTTTTACTTTCAGCCTGAGAACAGCACTGATAACACCAATGTTTTTAGTTGTTGCTAAGTAATGTTCACTCTGAGCAAGAATTTTCTGAGGCTCATACTCTGCCAGGGAGGAGGGGAAGCCAGGAGGAAGCAAAGATGGGGCAACTGACCCAAACTGACCAAAGAGGTATTCCATACCACAGCACATCATGCCCAGTATATAAACTGGGGGCAGTTACCCGGAAGGGTTAGATCACTGCTTGGGTCAGGCTGGGTATCGATCGGTGGACAGTGATCGGTTGTATTCTCTTCCCTTGTTATTTCCGTTATCATTATTATATTGGTGGTAGCAGCAGTGGTTTGTGTTATACCTTAGTTACTGGACTGTTCTTATCTCAACCCGTGGGAATTGCATTCTTTCCATTCTCCTTCCCATCCCTCCGGGAGTGGGAGGAGGAAGAAGTGGGGGGGGAGTGAGCAAGTGGCTGCATGGTTCTGAATTACTGGCTGGGTTTAAACCACGACACCTACAAAGATACATCCATGTCAATTCCCTTAACAAAAGGGATTATCTCTCTTTTAGACCTTGCTTCATTATGTCCTACAGAAGCTTTGTTTTTTACTAATACCAAATGACTCCATTAAACAGTAGATTCTACATGAAGGGCCAGTGATCATTACATTGTGCATTCATCTAAATGTAAACCTAAGCTCCACTCCTCTACATCTACATTGTATTCTGTTTTGCAAATACTGGGGGATAAGATTTAGTGAAATAACCTTAGCAGTATGATTTGATCAGGATAACAGGTCAGACCAGGGAAGTATATTTGATTCATTCAGGCCCTTTAAAAACACTTGTACACTTCCTTTTCAGTGAACAAATTTTAAGAAGACTATGACAACCAAAAATTAGGATACTATATACTGCAAGGATCGTAAAAGCTGAGTAACAGACAGATACATATTCCAGTTAAGTTTTAAATAATTTATTCCTTTTCAATAAGTTTTTTTTTGAAGGACACAGGTATAAATCCAGTGCTGCTAAATGTCTGTAACTATGTCCTGGAAGAATGAGAGTGTCTGCAAGTAGTGTGGAGGGGTGGCAAATGGTCCTAAAAACACATGTTTATAGAGGAATACAGCTTACAGGGTAGACTGGAGAAGGTTCAAGAAAAGGATACCAATAGGGTCCGAGAGCTGAAAGCCAAATTGTGTAGCTTGAATGAGCTAAGCAATGGGTAGTAAGTGGACAGGTTAATAAGCACGGGTCTCCAATGGAGGAGGGGTGACCTAATCACAGCAAGTCCATCTATAACTGGGAAATGCCAGCAAAGGAGAAGATAGGCAAGCAGTAAAGGTATTCAGATGTGGAGCACCCATTACCAGAGAAACCCCAGAGTGGAAACAGTGTCAACAGAGTTCAATGCCAAAAATCTTGGAGCAGATTCACAATGGGCAAGAAGCATCCTCCACCTTTAAATCCAGACTATCCTCCTGTCGTGGTTTAAACCCAGTCAGGTAATTTGTTCGCTCACTTCCCCCCGTTTCGTGCCCTCCCCCTGCTCCTGGAGGGATTTAGAGGAGAATCGAAAAGAATGCAACTCCCACGGGTTGAGATAAGAACAGTCCAGCAACAAATCGCCACCGCTATATCAGCTAAAACAATGATAAGGGAAAATAACAAGGGAAGAGAATACAACACCTCAGCACCAGCTGACAGATAACTCGCCCCCCAAGCCCGACCAAGCTCCGACCGATACCTCCTCCAACCCTGCAGTCTCCCAGCCCTCCCGGCTAACTCCCAGTTACATCCTGGGCATGACGTGCTGTGGTATGGAATACCTCTTTGGTCAGTTTGGGTCAGATGTCCTGTCTCTGCTTCCTCCTGGCTTCCCCTCCCCCCTGGCAGAGCATGAGGCTCACAAAGTCCTTGGCCAAACCAAAACATCCTTGTTATCAGCTCTGTTCCCGAGCTGAAAGTCAAAACACTGCACTGCACCAGCTACCAAGAAGGAGAAAAAATGACTGCTGCTGCTGAACCCAGGACATTATCCACCCCTTATTCCATACCATTCACGTCATGCTCAGTTCCCACATTTTCAGTATACCATCACTCTTATCTTAGTGCATGGACCAGTCCCTATAAAGCTGCTGAGTCCATCTGGTCCATGATGGCAGGCTCCATCTCTTGTAACAGTCTTTCAGAGCAGGAGAGACTGTGTGCAGTGTTCACACTCGTGAATCACCTCGGCAATAGTGTCCATTGCTAAGTCCACCCCTCGATCATGAGTCCATCTCTATGTTGCATCTCTGCTCTGATGGCCTGAAGTGCCATGGGCCCACCAGGCTCAAAATAATTCACTGTCCCCTTAAGCAGTTTCTGCAGCTTGTTGCTGGGGACTCCATACAGCTGCCTTCCATCTCCGATGCTTCCAAAGCACTGGAGGGGCCCAGTGGACTAGATACTTGCCCATACTGTCCCACACACCCTGCCACTCATGACTGTTCAGCCTTGGGGAAAACCTCTTGGTCCCCCTATATTGTCGTCTAACCCCAGACAAGACCCAAACCTGACTCTGCTTAACTTTTGAGATCAGACAAAATGGTTGTGGGTAGAACACAGTCTGTGTGTGTGCCAACATGCTGATCCCCATCACAATCAGCAGGCAGGTCCCAAGGGTACCCAAAGGCCATTCAAAACCTTCAGAACTCTCAGTTGATGCTGCTGTACTTGTCACTGGGGCTGGTGTAGCTGCTGTGCTTGCCGGCTCTCCCACCACCAGCTTCTCTTTTCCTGAGTCCAGCTCTTCCTCCTCTGCCTTGCTGGGAAATGCTGCGTGGTCTCCTGCATCCTCCTGGCGCTCGGCGGGCGGCTTCCGGGAAATGCTCTCGGCCATCGCGGGGCTGGGCTCCTCTGCGGGGCTCGGCTCCTCCGCGGGGCTCGGCTCTTCTGCGGGGCTCGGCTCCTCCGCCGCCTTATCCCGCTGCTCGCCAGCCCCTTCCTTCTGCTCCTCGACCGCCCCGACCTCCTCCACCTCCACCGGCAGCCGTCCCTTCGCGGCCTCCGGCCCCGCTCCCACTGCCGCTTGGTCCCCGGGGCCGCTCTCCCGGGCCGCTTCAGCAGCCGCCGGCTCCCGGGGCCGCTCCCCCTCGGCTCCCCGCAGCCTCACGAAGATGGAGAGTAGGGTGAGGGCCACGACGGTGAAGAGCAGCCGGACGGCCAGGTACAAGTCCACGGCCACGTCCGTCCCGCCCTGCTGCTGGAGCCTGCCTGTATTACAAGCCATTGCCATGAAGCACAGTGAGACAAGAACCTTAGCCCAGGCCCCACACTTGATAAACACTAACACAGCAAATACCGGCTCTAAGTAAGTTACAACGGTCTGAAGCTGTGAGATCAAGAGAAACAACTCTGAGAGCCATTAAATCGTCATTGTGACGAGTGACTATTAATCCAGTCAGATCTGTTGTTATCTCAACCCTTCGTGCCCCACGCTGGGCGCCAAAAAGAACTGTCGTGGTTTAAACCCAGTCAGGTAATTCGTTCGCTCACTTCCCCCCCTTTTGTGCCCTCCCCCTGCTCCCGGAGGGACGGAGAGGAGAATCGAAAAGAATGCAACTCCCACGGGTTGAGATAAGAACAGTCCAGCAACAAATCGCCACCGCTATATCAGCTAAAACAATGATAAGGGAAAATAACAAGGGAAGAGAATACAACACCTCAGCACCAGCTGACAGATAACTCGCCCCCCAAGCCCGACCAAGCTCCGACCGATACCTCCTCCAACCCTGCAGTCTCCCAGCCCTCCTGGCTAACTCCCAGTTACATCCCTCGGCATGACGTGCTGTGGTATGGAATACCTCTTTGGTCAGTTTGGGTCAGGTGTCCTGTCTCTGCTTCCTCCTGGCTTCCCCTCCCCCCTGGCAGAGCATGAGGCTCACAAAGTCCTTGGCCAAACCAAAACATCCTTGTTATCAGCTCTGTTCCCGAGCTGAAAGTCAAAACACTGCACTGCACCAGCTACCAAGAAGGAGAAAAAATGACTGCTGCTGCTGAACCCAGGACACCTCCCTTCCACCTTGATTAGGTATGCAGGAGGGGATGGATGCAGCAGTGACTGGTAAAGCTGTGTGGGCCATGTTCTGCTGGTCAGAAGGGAACCCTCAAACCTGTGCCCCTGTAATATCACCTGTGATATAAAGGTAAATTGGGTCAAGCTGGCTGCTGTGCACCTGTAAACCTGAATAGAGACTCAAATCTGGCCCACTCTCTTTTCTAAATGATATTTTAGATAGTCCTGGACTCTGGCAGCCTTTAAAACAAAGAAGCCACCTCTTGTAACATTTGACATATGCTGTCACTCACCCATTCCCTTCTGTGGTAAATGAGAACGATATTCCATCAGGTAGTACAGGTATGGTTTCTCAGGGCTTATCTCATAGTACCGTATATTTCCATCACCCTAAAGGCAAAGAAAATCAACGTAAGGCAACCTCTGCTGCTTAGTATGAAAGCATGAGAAGATTGCCTGGCCTCAGAAGCCATGCAGAGTCAAGAATGAACTAAACATTTACCCCCAGATTCCTATGTGGGAAGGTTAGGGCTCTGCAGTGTGCCTCCCCAGCATTTGCTGAATGGGAAGCACTTACCTTTCCCACCACATAAAGCATGTGTGTGTCTGAGTCGTAGAAGGGAAATAGGATTCCTGAGGAGCCATCCAGATCCTCCTCCAATAAAGGCACAGAAAGGTCATCCTGGCAGGACACAGGAAAAACAGAGAACTTCAATCACTGGCCAGTCACCTCAAGTTAGGGACATCTCACCTGAGCCCCACCTGACAGTGGCACATAAGCCATCTTCTTCAGAAACTCATACTCTATAATGACCCTAGGCCATGGCCAGCTGCCCTGAGCAGAGGGTCATGCAGAAATTTATTCAAAGTTCTGTGGGTGGGAAATGGGTGCTCTGTCCCAGGCTCTCAATTTGTACGAGTATCAGCTCATGATACTCGTACAAAGGGTGACAGCACCACAAAGAGGCAAAAGACTGTGTTACAAGGTAGTTAACACAGAGGGATGAAGTGAGACACTGACAAAGGAAAAGAATATCACTGTGTAAGAGAGGGGTAGAGAACAGCAGGGTTTCATAGGGCTAGCAGGCATCGCGATAGGAGAGCACGTCTTGGAAGTGATCAGTACTACCTCAATACTCTAATGTCAAAGATCATCAGAAAACAAACACACCACATTTTTTAACTCCATTGAGGGCTTCACCTGAGTAGGCTGTGTCTAAAGCTCATTTCTGTTTCCAGTACAAGTATCAATTTACCAGTAAGACCAGGAAGAGCTGCTTTTAAGTCAGAGCTACAGTGACCATCCAAAGGTTCTTTGAATGATTTCTACCCATAGCAATTCTGGTGGATTTCTATGCTGAAAGTTTTGAGAGCTTCTTCAGAAACTCATACTCGATTAACAGTGTCATAACAGTAAGGACTATCACCAACTAAGTATTTGACAGATCACTTCTGAATTGCTGTTATAAACCGGTTGTTGGGTATTTGGCAGGTAGAAAAAGTTAATGAGACAGCAAAAGAGAGAAAACTGAAGCTGGTGTGGTTAAGATTGCTGGTCCAACTCACTTGATCCCATAATGCAATTTGCCTATTATTCCACCGAGATGTTCCAGTAGAGATCAGTTTTTTCATGTTTCCAAGGAACAAGACTTTATTGGCTTTGTGAGAGTTGTAGCTGGCTTCCTATAGGAAGAGAAAGGACACTGTGTGAGGAAGAGATAGCACCCATCGCATAGCCAAATTTCATGTTACGCAAGACCTCTGACTCAGTAACATCTGAAAGATCTGCTCAGCCTGCCTGAACTACAGTGAGCAAGATTTCATGGGCATCTGAGAAAGGCAGCTTAAGCTCTTCAGAGCCATCCGCAAAAGCGCAGTCAAACTAATGAATTACATATGTGCAAAAGGGTGATCTCTTAATTGCTGGCAGGGCTTTGTGCGCCCAAATCTGTGCAAATACCTAGGAATAAGTCAGCTTCACCTTGCCAACAAATACAGAATCCAGGCAACAATAACAACTCTGGCAATGGGACACTTGCACCCTTCTGTCCACCTGATCTCTACAAGCCCTGATCTCTACAGGTCTTCCCTGTGGCATCCCACACGGGACTGCATGAGGCAGCTATCAGAACAGTGCCCTTCGAAAGGAGTTTCAGGGAGCAAGAAGCATGGTAGCAAGATGTGGAAACTCTGTGTTCAACAATGACAGCAAGTGTTCCATGAAAAGTAGAAGGCAATTGCAGCACCTAGTGTGTTGGGCAATGGAAGGCACAGAGGAGTCTTCTTTAATGGCAATGAATCTACCCAGAAGAGAAAACACTCCAAAGGGTGAGATCAGCTGAACCACAAACCTCTGAACCCAACCTACCTGTAGGACTGTTCCTGCACGAGGGTCTATCAGACGTATCTTTCTGTCCCTACAGGCTGTGGCAAGGAGACTGCCATCTGTGTTGAATGACATAGAAAGGACCACATCCCTGTGAGCATTGAGGATCTTCACTGGGTTTGAGATGACGGTCTTCATGGTGTCAAGGTTCCAGATCATTATCTGGAGAAATAAAAGAAAATCAGCCCTTTGCTGCCTGACCAGCTGGGAGCTTTTTGTACCCTATTAACCTCTTCTCTGCATGCATAGGTCTTGCCATCTTAAGTGGTTGTTCTCCAGGATTTAAAATATTCCCTGGTACTTACAGTAATATATCAGGGATACACTGCTCAGAATGTCAAATGTTCTAATTTCCTTCACAGCCACATTTTATACATAAGAGTGGCCACCATCAGTGCAGATATTTGCACTAGCATAAGAATGAAGCCAAATAAAAAAACACAAAAAAGTGCATGGCACTGCATATTGTATCTAATCCAGTAAAGGAGAACGGCAGAGTAGACTTAAGAGAGACTGGAAAATTAGCAAGTCCTTCTGAACTTGCAGCAATGTCCTTTTGCCTTTGGGGTCACCATGGAATTTCACCCTGGGGAAGGTTTATGAACTCTTTAGCATTAGTTCACAGCTTGAAATTAAAACAAATTTCAAAACACCCTGCCAAACAGGGTACCCCAGGAGGAGAGCTGCACATAGAACAGACCCACCTTGTAGTCATACCCAGAGCTGAAGAGGATGTTATTAGCAGTGGGATGCCATTCAATGAGACCAACTCTTCGAACATGCCCAAGAAGTTCCTTCTTCGGACTGGTAATGGTTTTTGTTAGCAAGGGCTTGGGGATCTCCCAGATTTTCACCTGAATGGCACAGGATGGGTCTTTGTGAGATTCCTGAGTAAGGAGCTGATTTGGAACTAATAACTATTATTCCCTTGGTATTATTATGCCCTTGATAGTGAATAGGAATGCTCCTGGCTTTATTGAATGCCAGTTATTTAAATTAGTATCTTTACTTTTCTGTGGGCCTGAGGAATCCTCTTTACCCTCTATCTTTAGCCAGCAGTTCTACCAGTTTGTTTTAACTTGGTAATTCAACACTTACACTTGGCCAAGCTGTCAACACAATTACAAAAACTTATTTCCAAGGGGAAAAAGTAAATGACAGATCTTGCAGACCTTGCCTCATAACAAACTTTGAGCAAAAGCAAGCAAATCTGAAATAAACTTTGAAGAGTCACAGAAAATATTATAGCAGTGATCAATCCAAGCAGTCATCCACTCAATACTAGTGAAAGAACTGAGAACTCCCCTGGTCAGATGACAACTATAGTATTGTTTGTCCCATAGAAACTGCACCAGTGCCGAACACTTTGCAAATGACACAGCCATTTGTCAAAGTAGACAGAGCCCACTCAGGTGGGTAAAGTACTCAGAAGCCCACATAGCAGATGTCCCAAAAAGAGAGACTGAGAAGCACTGCACTGAAGTTTATTCAACTTCAACTGGGAGTGTGGTGTCTCATAACAGGTCTACCTGCAGCCCTGGGTTCTTCTACAGGGATGCTGCATGAAGACAAAAAACCTCTGTCCTCCTGGAGTAGAAGAAGAAATAAAAGAAACCTGCAAAAGGGGCTTGACCTATGCAGGTATAATGAAAGAGTCCCTCACTAACTGTAGACACACAACTATTTAGGATTCTAACAGGTGATGAAGCCTTTGGCACAATGAAAATTACTATGCTTGTCATATTTTTTCCTAGATTTAGCCTGAAGCAAAAGAGTAATGCTCTTTGACGTAGATAGGTCATGGAAGTTAGCCACATCTGCCCAAGTCTCCCATTGTTTGGCTGATGAGGATCACACCTTTCTAAGACAAAGAAGGAGAGCTATAAATCCTGGGACCTGCTGGGAAAGGTCATGAGCATTCTTCTCAACTGAGGAATCAAGGTCATCAGAAACCTAAGGACTGCGGGGTCCAGTAGCCTCTAGACAAACTTCCAGAGTGGTAAGAGCTTCAACAGCAATCACTAAAGCAATAGAGCTGAGAGTGTAAGAAAGGGAAAAATAGGTTGTGTTCATACTGAGAACTGCCTAGAATGAGCCATTCACCCTGCATGCTATTAAATGGTTGGTGGTAAAAGCAGGGAAAAGCCCCTGGTGTCTCAGACTGTATTAAATGGCAGAAAGTGTCAGTGCTTAGTGAGCAGGAGTGGGTCTTGGAGCCAGCCCTGCCAGGTCAAGCAAGAACAATTCATGAACCATTTACCTTGCTGCATCTTGAAGAAAAACTGACAAAGCAAAGTCACAGAATTGCCCTTATAAGCACACAGGACATCTTCAGCAAGCTGAATTCACATGTTCCTGATTGATGTGCCAAAAGGAACAGAAGGGGTAAGAGGATAAGGCCTCTCCCCATACCGTTCAAACTCTCAGTCCCTGTCCACTTGCACTGGCCTCAGTTCTAAGCCTGCCTGAAGCAGCACTGGGAACTGTAAAGGGCAATAGGTGAGACTATTGACTACTGACTCACAGAGACTATCCATCCCCTCCCATGACAAAAATTACCACTCTACAATCTTCAGCTACACACTGCAAAAGATAGCTGTGGTACCACCAAGGCAAGCTCCAGAAAGGCAGATTAATGGCCAAGAAACCTCTGAGGAATGTGGGTAATGGGAAATTTCCACTACCTTCCAGAAGCTTGTGGCCATCCTCAAAAGCTCCAGGGAGACACAGTCCAGTAAGAACAATCAGATGCATCCTTGCACACAAGCCAGAACAGTGGCTAATGCCACAGTGAGGCTCAGAAATGGTGCAGAGCACCATACCTTTAACAACAGAATGCGAGGAGTCTTGGGCTCTGATGTCCAGCCCAGTGGAAGTAGTTGACACCTCTGGGACCCTAGAAACTTCCTCAGACTTCTCTCAGGACAGAGAAAGTGTTGCTGTGGAGACGTGCCAAAAGTACATCCAGTCCAAGCTCTCTAGTACAGGCCAGCACAACACAGATGTTGACACCATATCTGTCAGTGATGTGTGAATCCAACAGCAGGCACTGAGATGAAGGGGGAATGGGAGCAAATCTGAGGAGAGGTGGGATGAAAAGAATTTGTTCAATTTCTGGCTACCCTTCAAGAAAAGCACAGAGGAGATGGAGCCAGAGTCTTTGGAGGTGCACAGGGACAGCACCGAAAACAATGAAAACAAATGGCAATATGGGCACTCCCTGGTGATCAGAGGAGCCCTATTTTGCCTAGAATTTTGCCTTCAACCCCTGGAAGAAGGGACCAGTGAGGCAACAGCATCTGAAGCCTTGGAGATCTTCCAGCTCACCTGGACAAGGCTTAGAACAACCTGATTCAACTGACCTGCTTTGAGTAGGGCTTGGACTAAGTGAGCTCTAGAAGTCTAGCTACTGGCTACCAGGCAAACCAGTCACACTAAGAAACATAGTCTGTTGTCCTCTGTAGTTGGCAGGGATGGAAGAGGTATCCCTACATTATGTCATTGTGTAGGGAACCCCTAAGGTCCTGGTGCCAGGATGACGGGAAGGTGATACCAAAACAGAGAGCATATTCACAAACAGCAAGACTTCTTAGAACAACTTTTATTGATGACACCAGTGACAAGCTCAGTATTTTCATTGTTTAGATCATCAGGGAATGATTCAGCGCCAAGTTTCAGTAGGAAGCTGGAAAAGAAAGCTGACAGGGAGCAGCTTTCCTGCATAGACTCCAGAGTCCTGGGTAGACAACAGGATAAATATGACACAGCAGCATATCCTGGTGGGGATGAAAGCTAGCAACATCCTGGCCTGATACAAAAGGAAGACAGCCGTTAGATCAAGGGAAGCAATTTTTCTCATTTACTCAGCTACCATTAAACAGCAGCTGGAACACTGCATCCAGTTTTGTAGTATCTCAGTGCAATAAAGATGCTGATAAACTTAAGTGATTCCAGTGGAGGCCACCAGGATGCTCAGGAGGCTGCAGCACTTGCCCTTTGAGAAGCTGAGGGAGATGGGCTTGCTTAGCTTGGAGAAGACATGGCTTCAAGGCAAACTTAAGAGAAGCCTTCAATACTTAGAATACTGCTAAGAAATTTCAGCCAGGCTCTGTCTTGAAGAGCAGGGTGGTAGGACAGGATACAGCAGTTACTAACTACACTGGGGAGGTTCTGACTGCATATAAGGAAATATATTTCTCCATGGAAGCAGTGAAGAACAGGAACAGGTTGCCCAGAGAGGTGGTGAAACCTCTATCCTTGGGTTGCCTCCTGTGCTCAACAGACCTGCAGAGGAGAGCACCCAGGCTCCTTTAACACAAATGGTTTTGTGATTCTGTAACTGCAGCAGGAAGTTTTGAAGCTTCTGCTCATTCCTTATCTAAGGATCAAAAGAGAGGTCATGGTAGATCCTTCCTGCCACAGGTCCATCCGGAAACAGTATGAAAACTCAGCAGACAGGTTGGAGGATAAAATGAAACCCTCACAGACAGCCCGGAAATTTAAAGCCTTCAAAAAATAAAAGACAAATATATCCGAAGAAGCAAAGGAAAGTCACTACATGAAGGACAATTAAAAGAGCCTAGATTTCTAATTCAAGAGTGATTTTCGGCAGAGCTGAAATGTCTGAATGTGCACTAAGTCAGGGTTGAAGGAAATGAGAAGGAAAACCTCCCTGATGCTGTGTGGTAGAGAGTGAATATACCCAGTGGAAGAAAACATATGTGGGATCTCTGGAAAAAAGGACAGTAGTTAGTCAGGTGGCTCTATTGCAGAAGTCAACATCCCGCTTTTGACAGGACATGGAAAAACAACCTTTCATGGTCACTTAGATACGGGTTAAATTGCCCATTACAAACATTTCAGTTACTAGTCTGCACCTACACTGAGGCAAAATGTGTGACTGCATCTTAATTATAATAATACCAGGTAAGGCACTTATTGCAGAATGGTATGATGCAGATTCCTCATCTACTCCATAAGTGATCCAACATGACTTTACAGAGTAACTGAGTAGAGAAACAAACTCAAATTTGCTCTGCAGGGAATTAATCTGAAACAGCTGCTCCAGATTACATTGTATTGAAGCTTTTGTTTGAAATTAAAGAGTTTTATAATGATTAAAATTGAATAGTAATTCCATTTTAAATTCATACTCTTGTTTTCTCATGCAAACATACCCAAAAAGACAGAAGTCCCCATAAAACAGATCTTTCTTTACACACTGATTTTGATATATCATCTGGAAGGTCTGACCCCAAGAGAAATAAATGATCTTACTTTTACCTGACTTCTTTATATGTATATGCATGCTTTCACATCTCAGCCATGGGCCTTGTGGTTTCTTTTTCATTTCACTCCCCAAAAAGGATATTAGCTATGTAACAACACCGTCGACAAGCTGGTAAACTTACTGTGGCATCTTCTGAACATGAAGCTATTACAAAGTCATTGAATGGGTTCCACTTGATGTCCAGAACATTCCCTCTGTGACCCCATATTCTGGGATAATGTGGGTCAAGCTTCCCTGTCTGGAAAACACATATCAACAAACCTAAGATGAGCCATGTAATTACAGGACATTTTTAAAGAAGATCCAAGCCAGCTCCAGCAAAAAACCTCTTTCTCCTTGTTATGTTCCAAGTGCCCTGGGTGGCCTCTGTCTATTGAGAATGGGCTTTTGCTGTTCCTGCTAAGCAAGTCTTGATGATACCACTGAAAAGAAAGGAAATAGTTATCCAGGCCTTTCTAATTACACATTGCTATGAAGAAATCTGTACACATGCAGCAGCTGAGACTGCTGAAGTTAGAACACAGTATTTGGTTCAGACACCAGGATAAAACTTTGAGGGGAAACACTCATAAACAAGTTGAATCCTCCATATTTTTTAAAGATCTTGGGGGGAGAAACACACACACCATAAGATTTCTTACCTCTTACCTCTTTCAGAAGACATTTTTTATAAGCAGGAAAAACATGTATATATATTTTAGCTTTTATTCTTTAGTTTCATCAGCTAGAGTTTATTTTTCAAGCAAAAAGGTATTTGTGACACAAATTACAAATGTAGTTTTTCTTTCAACAGCTATCTGTTTCTCCCTGATGGTGCTCAAATCCAGCCATTCACCAGACTGAACCAGATTCCAGACTCTCCTAAAAGACTCAAAGTTTGGGTGGCATCTTCACTACTAAAAATCCTGCACGAAGTGCACAAAGGAGTATTGAGAGCCTGATGCCACATGGGAGCAGTCTTGCATCAGGAGAAAAACATACTGCAGGCACAGTGCTACAAAGCCAAACCAGTGTATTACATGCTAGGAAGCTTGCTGGGAATTTTAGTACCATTGCAGCAGCACTTGCTTCTCCCTGTCAGAAGCAGGAGAAGTACGGACCCACTTTCTATCCAAGACATCTGTCCAAAAGCAAAGGTCAGACACCTAAAGAGATATGGTGGGAAGCTGGTCCTGCTCACTGCTTTATTTTTGTCCCACCTCAAAGAATTACAAACCAAAATGAACACAAATGCATGCTCTCATGGAAAGGAGACACTTGTGTTGGTGCTCTCCCTGCTCCTTTCCAGAGGTGGGCCTTAGGAGTGCACAGCAGAGGGAAATCAGTGCTGGCTCTAACATGGATGTGGCCCGAATGTAATTTTCCCAGCCTTTAAAATGTGTATGGTTCTGAATGCAGAACAGGACACGATATGTAACTATTCTGGCCTCACTGGAAAGTTTATCACATAGACTGGGACTAACCTGCTTTAATCTGAACACTAGAGGGCTTTGAAATGTAAAAGACTCTGCTTTTTTAGACTACAGTCTAAAACAATTGTGACAAAGCAAAGTGACTTGGGAAGGCAGAAGAGAGATAAAAAGCCTTTAATAAGCAGCATTCCCCCACCCACAGTGTCCTTTTGTAGGCTTCAGAGCTTGATTTCAATTTGGCAACTCAATGGGCTGGGCAGCCAGCTCCACAGCGATGCCTTGATCCCTATGGGAACTGTCCCCTCCTAGAGCTGGCTGGCTGACTGCTCCCCATTCCATCTGGGAGACTCCCAGGCTGCCCTGAGCCTGCTCTGCCAGTCCCATCCTGCAAGGCTGTCCTACCACCATGTCCCCAGCAGGCTCAATTGGCCTTGGAAAAGGAGTCCTTGCCCTTCCAGCCACCAGCCCCAGTGCAGCCTTGCATCCATGGGACAGAGCAGGACCCCGCAACACATGAACCCCCAGGCTGCCGATAAACACGTAGGACAGGTAGAGCTGCTGGTCTCAGATGCACATCTGTATGTGGAAGTGAAGCTCTTCACATGCTGGGGGAAGTTTTCATCTCAAAATTAGTTACTATTTCAGTAACTAATGTATTGTTATTCATGCAGATGTACCTGACTTCCACAGAGATTTGCAGGGATTGAAAATTAGTAATTTTTCAACCTCACACTTTCTAAACTCCCAGCACTTCTGAAGAGTAACCAAACTCAGAGCCCCTTGACAAAAAACACTTCTACTGGGACAGCCCTTACAACTCTCCCAAGAGCAGAGTCTGTACAGGGTAGATATCCTTCCTTTAACAGCCAGTGCTGACGCACTGAAAGACTGGAGATCGCAAAGACTTAGATAAATATCTCCTTGTCTCTTGGGACTTTGTTCTCATTTTTCTATCCCTTTGCTTTATGCTGCAGAGACAGATGCAGTCTCAGCCAAGTCTGGTCATTGGAGAAGGAAATAGTCAGGCCTTTGCCACAAAAAGGAAGGCCACAAAACTGCTCTCTCAGTCAAGATCTTTGCTTGCTATGCACTGCATGCAGTTCCCAAACACATCTGTGCCAGACACCAATCTACGCACCCTAAGAAGACCATTCATCTCCCAGTTATAGTCACTGAGCCTGTGTCTCCTTGGACTTGCAAGATTAACAAAGGCAGTCAGTCTATTCAGCCATCTTCCTCCCTGGTGAGATGTGCTGCCATTCAACGGTACATCTTCACGAGGACCTGTCTGACACATCCTGCATCAGAAGACCATTCTCCAAGTGGCGGCAAATATCAAACTAATTCCTCTTCAGGCTGAAAGCAAAGGCCTGCTGAAAGGAGAGTATCTGTGGCAAAGAGCTACCTCCCTATATAACCTCTGCTGCTCTCAACCCTAACTCTCCCCCAGGCTCTCAGAGAGGAAAAACAGTGCAGTAGTTGAGAGCGGGATTTACGCAAACTGACGAGAGAGCTTGGTGCCCACAATAAGGAGCACAACAAGCCAGCAAGGAGGCACAGTCCAGAGCAAGGTTGAGCCTACATTTAAGCACATATTGACGCAGGCAGTCCCTCTAGTAGCATGTGCAGAAAGAACTCCAAAAAGCATTGGAGGGACAAGAGCAGCTCCAAGGGCAGGTTATTCACCCAGCCTGGAAAGTGTAGGCCTCCCTTTCCCAGCTACCATATCCTGCGTTGGCTAAATGTGATGTCCTGGCTCTTCCGCTTTTCCTCCACACGATGGCAAGGTTGTAACGCAGCTGCTGCCTGTGAATCCAGTCAAAAGTAACCACAGATCAGAGGCTCATCATGAGAAGGCAATACTGTCCCATGCATAGTCTCCAGAGCAGCTGCCTTTGGCTCCCTGCAGCTGGGTCCACAGTATGCTGTCTATCATGGTCAGCATTGCAAAGGATGGCAGCCACAAATACCACCACCAGGAGCAAAAGTCAAAAGCTGCCTGATTTTACCAGGTAGGACCAGCTGAGAAGTGTATCACAGTCCCCAGGCTCAGGGAACCTCTTTCTGTGAGGGGCTGAGCCCACTCTCCACACCCAGCAAGGGTCAGGAACAGGTATTCAGAGAACGGCTGTACAAAGCGCAGCACGTACAGATAGTTTCCCCGATCCACCACCAATGGTCAACCCTCAAGGGACATGCATCAGAACTAACACAGTTCATAAAATGCTCTATAACTTCATCCTGGTTTACAACCCTTAGTTCTTCTGGTCTCATCAGCATCTGGAGCAGTGAGCTCTACATCTGAACTGCAGAAGAATTCACATCGGCTGATAACAGTTTGCTCCCTTTACCAGGATTCCAGGGACTCCATACCACAAAAAAACAAGAAGAATTACTCCTTATGCTTGTTCCTCATCCTCATGACAAGTTTTATATATCTCACTTCTTTGTCTTTTTTTCCAGACTGACTGAGGCCTAATCTACATCTTCCTCACATATTTTCATTGATGTACTTTAATAACCTTTTTCTGTACCTCCCAGTTCTACCATGCCTTTGAAATAAGGCAGTTATTTCTGCAGGCAGGTATTTCAGATCTGGATGGAGTGTTAAGCAGGTGTTAAGATGGAAGAATTACTACTGAAGACTAGCCTAGAGAGCTCTAGAGAGCTGAGAAAAGGTGAGAAGACAGAAAAATTAATAGTAAGCAGTGCAAGCACTCTCAACTCATTTTGCCAACACTTTGAGAGCTGGCTCCCACCCCCTGTCCCACAGTCACCAGCTTACAGATGCAGCTCTGTGATAAGGACAAGTTCTTCAGCCTCAACAGATCATCGTTGAGGGGGAAGAAGTGACTCAGTCAAGAAAAACAAGGCAAGGGTTAATTTTAGAAGGACTGTCTTTGAACAGCACCTGCAGAGAAGGAGATGAACAAACAAAGTCTAGGAGAGCCAGGAACTGTGCTAAATTCTTCAAGCATAGCCAGTTCACTTTCATCCTTAGCAAATATATATTGAAAAAGTGGTAATGCAATAACACCATCAATTAACTTTTAATTAAAGGCTGAACTTTTGCCTTTCATCTGTTCTGCCCTGATTCCAGAGAGCTCATAATCTCATATTCAAGTTAATCCACATTAGTGCATGCCTAATTTTTTCTGAAGCAATAAACATCAGATGGCCTGCTTCTCTCCCTCATCAGATCCGTAAGTCATCAAAACCCATAAACATCGGATTTGTTACTGAAAGGGAAGCTTCTCCAGCATCGATGCTTTAAGCTTAAGAGCTTCATTGGCTGATAATCATTTCTCCACTCTTTCACAAAGGAGGAGGTAGAGCGAAACATGCCACATTTTCCTTTTGTCATATCTGAAAACATGCCAGTAATGCAACTTTCAGATTTTGCCCCGTGTCTCCTAATTACTTCTATATTTAAAATTTCTCCTAGCACAGTTCCTGCTCTTTATACAGGAAATGCAAATGAGATGTGAAATGAATGAAGGTGCTAAAAAGCTGCAAGCAGCAATGTAAGAGACAAAACTAGACACAACCCAGGAATCACCTGCCAGAGCATCTGAGGCCCCTCCTATCACTCTGCAATCTGGACAGCTGCATTAACTGAATATCCTCTGTGTGATCTAGCTCCCTAGAAAGCCTGGCTTTCCTCCAGCCTCTTGATGCTCTCTCAAAAGCCAGCCTGCCTCAGGAGAGCTCACCTGGTGTATGGGAATGACAACAAAGGCCCCCCCGCACGCACACTCAGTCACCACTGCAATGAAGTGGGGGTTTACAGCGCAGAACTGGTTGTCGTGGACGTTGTGGGTGATGGGCACGCAGTCATAGCATTTCTCCTTACTGGCTGGTCTGCCATACACGTGGCGGAACTTGGAGGTGCGGTACTGCAGGTTCCACGACATCTGCAATTGGAGAAACACAATGCTCCGTGACATAAGGACCAAGCAAGGCTTGCAGACTCCCGCTCCCCAGCACAGGCTCACCCCTCCGCATCTGTGCTTCTCACATCAACCCTCAGACAGCAAGCAGCAGTCACTTTTTTCTCTGGTGGTCTTCACCCCTGTGGCATGACCTGTGTCTGCACCCGCTGCAGATGGAGTGATGAAGAGAAGAGAGTTCAGGGGAGAGAAGACAGCTCTCTCCATCACCAGCTGGGCTGTGCATGCAGTCCCTATCACTGAGGCAGGGCCACACGGCAGCAAGTTTAAGAGGAGATGAATCTTGGTAGCACAGAGCTCAGGAAGGATAAAAGATACATCTTAGGTGGGGAAAGCCTGAAAGATGGCAAGTGAAAAAGCCAGTCTGGATGCATGCTTCATTTAGTCCTGAGGTGGCTTAGGACCAAAAATAAGTCTAAATTTTGCACATATGAAGGGAAAAAAAGATCTGACAGGTTACAGGAATAGTTGCTGTCACCTCTGGGTTTTTTCCCCACTAACAATGAATGACATTTTGCATGACTAGTTTATAACTGCACCACAGCCTTCTAACAGGCAGCATTTTAAATGGTGTTTAAATTAGATACATAAATCATGCTAAACACAAGAACCCTTCCCACAGAGAGCACTGGAGCTTAACAGAACTCATGCAAGTGCTCTCAAGTAGGAAACTACCAGTGTTGGGCAGAAAAGGTCGTTCAGACTATTAACTCTTGCTCTCTCAACAAGACCTAGACAGTGGGGATGGTCCTACTGCCTAAAGGAAAAGAAATGGAGATCAGGCAAGAAGGTTATGGGTGAAAGAGATCCCCAGTCAGCTGTGAGTATGAGCAAACATTGGGAAAAGGCTTGATTTTACCCAGTACTGATTTCTTTAACATGAATTTGGTGAACACTGTTATCAGCAATACTGGATCAAAATACTCCAGTCTGAGATGGGAACCCAACCAAGCAGCTTTTGAGTTACAGCAAGACTTAAACCACTCACTCATGTGGGTAAACGTTTAAGGGGAGGCATGCAATGGCAGGAAATCAAGAGCGTCATCACCTGACAAGGGGTCTAAGCAATTCTAAACTTAAATATCCTTGTTGCTGGCATGTTTTTGCATCCTCTTATGATGACTGTTTGAGGTTAGGAAACTGTATTGCTTGATCCTGGGCTGTTAAACTGAAACTTTACAAGCACCCATCAACACAAAGATCCACAAAGCTCACATCCCACATCACACCAGAAGATGTGAGCTATCAATAGTGCTAGGACACAAGTCCTGTCCTATCTCCTGTTCCCAGAAGGAGCACAGTGTGGTCTGAAGTGCCATGACATATCTGCAATACAAAAGGGATAGATGCCCATTCTGAACACAACTGTGGTGAGACACATGGAGACACAAGTAGCAGCCAAGATAGAGAAGCTGGGAAGAGCTGGGCTGGGCAAAACACTTCTCTGCAGGGCTGTCCTTAAGCAGCTCCCAAGTTTTGGGAAAACATAATGTTACTTGCTGCACTCCAGCCAGCTATAACAGGTCTTTCATCTTTTATTCTCCACTCCTGCAAGATTGTCAGCCACTCAAAACAGCTTCCTGGCAGTAAGCAGAGCAATCACTTGTGCCACCAGCTCCATTCCCCACCATTCTGTCTTGCAGGCAAGCCCACCCTGAATTCTCTCCCACCCTGGGTGAGTCCTGCAGCAGAGCAGGCCCCACCTTCTCCATAAGGGCCTTTGAACTCCTCGATGACCCCCACACTGGCATGTTTCCATGTACACCTCACCGTTTCCATTCCCCACCCTTGCCCACCACCTCAACATTAGGAGGATGGTCCTCTCCCTGCTGGAAGCAGAGGCAGCAGCGGGCTGCACATCATCAGAGCTGACTCCATGGGCCACAGGGAGTTAGCTGCAAAATCCTCCCCAGAGCAGGAGGCAGAGGCACCTCCATGGGGAGGCCCTCCCCCGTATCTTTCCATGGCAAGCAGTAAACCTTGGTGTACAAGTAACTTTTCCCAGTTCTTCAAAACCTACTGAGGCTACAGCTGCACTTTCCACCTACCTCCCCCATCCGAGGTGCCACTACACTACAGCACCTTCTTACCAGCCTTCTCCTGGCCCTCATCACACAGCCTCCCACTTGCAGAGGAAAAGCAAACTGGACAAGGAGGTCCTGACAGTAGCAGGGCTGCATCCGCCCCCCCTCTGCTCACAGTGCCACGCCCATCCGAGGGCGCTGGGATCTACCAGAGGCCTCTGCTCAGTGTTCCCTGCAGGGTCCTTCTTTTCCATTTTCAGACATTCGCTTCCCTCTTCTCTGTTTTCAGGTTTTGACAGTCACAATTATTTGTTTTCCTTCCTCTCCTTTACTGCCACACATGGTGGAGAAGAACACACAGGAACACCAGGCAAAAGAAAGTGATATGACCACTGTCCAAACATAGAATCATAGAATGGTTAGGGTTGAAAAGGACCTTAAGATCATCTAGTTCCAACACCTCTGCCATGGGCAGGGACACCTCACACTAACCCATCTCACCCAAGGCTCCCTCCAACCTGGCCTTGAACACCACCAGGGATGGAGGATTCACAACTTCCATGGGCAACCCATTCCAGTGCCTCGCCACCCTAACAGGAAAGAATTTCTTCCTTATAGCCAATCTAAACTTCCCCTGGTTAAGTTTTAACCCATTACCCCTTGTCCTACCACTACAGTCCGTAATAAAGAGTCCCTCCCCAGCATGAGGTCTCCACACAGCCTTCTCTTCTCCAGGCTGAACAGCCCCAACTTTCTCAGCCTATCTTCATACAGGAGGTGCTCCAGGCCCCTGATCATCCTTCGTGGCGTCCTCTGGACTTGTTCCAACAGTTCCATGTCCTTTTTATGTTGAGGACACCAGAACTGCACACAATACTCCAAGTGAGGTCTCATGAGAGCAGAGTAGAGGGGCAAGATCACCTCCTTCGATCTGCTGGTCACGCTCCTTTTGGTGCGGCCCAGGATATAGCTGGCTTTCTGGGCTGCGAACACACAGTGAAGCTGGCTCATGTTCAGTTTCTCATCGACCAACACCCCCAAGTCCTTCTCTGCAGGGCTGCTCTGAATCTCTTCTCTGCCCAACCTGTAGCTGTGCCTGGGATTGCTCTGACCCAGGTGTAGGACCTTGCACTTGGCATGGTTAAACTTCATGAGGCTGGCATCAGCCCACCTCACAAGGGTGTCAAGGTCCCTCTCAATAGCATTCCTTCCCTCCAGCGTATCAACCGAACCACACAGCTTGGTGTCATTGGCAAAGTTGCTGAGGGTGCACTCAATCCCACTGTCCATGTCAACAGCAAAGATGTTGAACAAGACCAGTCCCAACACCGATCCCTGAGGGACACCACTCGTTACTGGTCTTCAGCCAAACATTGAGCCATTGACCACAACTCTTTGCATGCAGCCATCCAGCCAAGTCCTATATCCACCGAGTGGTCCATCCATCAAATTGATGTCTCTCCAATTTAGAGACAAGGATGTTGTGTGGGACAGTGTCAAATGCTTTGCACAAGTCCGGGTAGATGACATCAACTGCTCTACCCCTGTCCATCAGTTCTGTAGCCCCATCATAGAAGGCCACCAAATCGGTCAGGCAGGATTTCCCCTCAGTGAAGCCATGCTGGCTGTCACCAAGCACCTTGATGTTTTTCATGTGCCTTAGCATGCCTTCCAGGAGAATCTGCTCCAAGATTTTGCCAGGCACAGAGGTGAGAGTGACTGGTCTGTAATTGCCCAGGTCATCCATTTTCCCCTTCTTGAAAACGGGGGTTATATTTCCCTTTTCCCAGTCATCGGGAACTTCACCTGACTGCCATAATTTCTCAAATACGATGGCCAGCAGCTTAGGAACTTCATTTGCCAGCTCCTTCAGGACCCACAGATGGATTTCATCAGGTCCCATGGACTTGTGCACGTTCAGGTTCTTAAGATGGTCTCAAACCAGATCCTCTCCTACAGTGGGCCCAAGGTCTTCATTCTCACAGTCTCTGCATCTGCCTTCCAGGATTTGGGTGGTTTGGTCAGAGCCTTTGCCAGTGAAGACTGAGGCAAAGAAGTCATTCAGAACCTCAGCCTTTTCCAAATCCTGTGTAGCCAGTTCTCCTGACAGCTTCCTGGGGGGGCCTCCATTCTCCCTAGTCTGTTTTTTATTTGAAATGTACCTATAGAATCTCTCCTGTTATCTTTCACATCCCTACCCAAATTTAATTCTAACTGGACCTTAGCTTTCCTAACCTGGTCCCTAGCTTCCCGGACAACATCCCTGTATTCTTCCCAGGCCGCCTGTCCTTGCTTCCACCTTTTAGGAGCCTCTTTTTCCCCTCAAATTTTCCTCAGCAGCTCCTTATCCATCCAAGGAGGTTTCCTGGCCCTCCTGCTGCACTTCCTTCCAGTTGGGATGCAACACTCCTGAGCTTGCAGCAGGTGATCCTTGAATATCAACCAAGAGTCTTGGGCCCCCTGCCCTCTAGGGCTATATCCCATGGAACCTTACTAAGCAGGTTCCTGAAGAGGCCAAAGTCTGCAGGTTTGGGCTTAGGAAAAGTAAGTCTCACCTGGAGTTGAATCTGACTCATTCATTCATGTGAATGGCAACAAGAAAGTTTCCTGCAGGTACCACAGCAGTAAAAGGACAACTAGGGAAAACTTGAGCCTGCTGAGAAGGGGAGCAGGAGTCTTCTGACAAAGGACACAGAAAAGGCACTACAGCCTTCACTGCTGTATTGGGTTTGCATGGCAGGGTTTTGGTGGTGGAAGGAGCTATCAAACCCTGCTGGGGGGGGGGGGGGGGTCTTCTGCAAGAAGCTTCCCCCATGCCCCATAGAGCCAAATGCTAGCCTGTGCCAAGAGAGACCCACGCTGGCCAAGGACAAGCCCACCAGTGATGGTGGAAGTGCCTCTGGGGTGATATAGTTAGAAGGGGAAAGAAAAAACTGTGCA